CTCCTCCTCCTCCTCCTCCTCCTCCTCCCACTCCTAGCCCTTTCGATCAGGGTCGGCGGCACCGGCCGTCAGGCCTCTCCAATAAGTACACGCAAAATAACAGGATTCCCCTCATGTTCCCATGTTTTCTGGGTTTTGGTCTCCCCCCCCACTTCCCACATGTTTCCCATATTTTTCTGGGACGTCGGCGATTCATTGTGTCTGTGTGTGTGTGTGTGTGTCTGTCCCTCCTGAAGGAAGCTCTGGAAGAGCCCCCCCATCGTTGGCATTTGAGGGCAGGGCACGGGACTCAACGCTGTGCATACGGGGCAATTTTTAACACATGGGATTTTGAAACACATAGGATGTTGAATCCATGATCAATGTATGAATAATAAATGTATGCATGAGCTCATCGTTGTTTTTTATACCAAATCCCTGCATTTGTAATGCATGATCCGCACACGGAGCATGTATTAAAAAAACGGCACTGTAACCTCTGTAAGGGTCCCCCCATCGTCGGCATCCGAGGGCAAGGCACGGGACTCAACGTTTGTGCATAATCCACATGCTCTCCCGGAAACGCATGGCCTTCTCCGCAAGAGCGTGGGGTTGGCACGTGGCGTTGTTCAGGCAGCCCGAGTCCAATATCTCCTGCACGGCCTTGACCCTGCAGAAGTTGGGTTGGATACTATTGGACTTGAGGCGCTGCAGAGGAGGCTGACCATGGCCGAAACCACCGCCAAGCTAGCACAAGCACCCCAAGCATATTGGCTCCCCACCGTGCGCCCCCTGGCACGCGAAGGCATGCTAGACTCCCAGGTGCTGCCCGTTCGGTGTTGTTTCTCATCTTCTTCCAAGGGACCCCCCTCTCCCGGCCGCACCTCCCCGCACGCACCGGCCATACTCTCACGGGGTCCCTGGGCGGCCATGGCGCCTCCCTGGGGCTCTCCAGGGCTTCCGTGACGGCCCAGGAGGCCCCCAAGACGGTCCAAGAGGCCTCCAAAAGGTCGCTCAAGAGGGCCCCCAAAGGATTTTGGCTTCTCGTCTTTTCGGCTTTCCGACGCCCCAAGACGGCCCGATAGGCCCCCAAGACCACCCCAAAACAGCCCAAGAGGCCTCCAAGAGGGCCCCAAGACGGCCTATGAGCGCCCCAAGACGGCCCAAGAGGCGCCCGAGATGACCCAAGAGCCCCAAGACGGTCCCAAAAGGAACCTCAAGAGCACGAACCGAAAATCCGAGCCTTCCGCCCCAAGGGGAGCCCAGGAGCCCCCGAGAGGCCCCAAAACGGCCCCAAGAGGCCGGAAAACTACCTCCAAGAGACCCCCGAGAGGCCTCCCACGATATTCCAACGAATATCCGTAGGCTTATAACCCACAGACCAAGCACGGTGGCGGGGGCTGCTGTGGGCAGCTGGATACTCTCGCAAGGAGGAAGAGGGGGAGACGGAGGCGGAGGAAGACGGAGATGCGAAGGCGCATGGGATACACAAAGGACTCAGTGACATGTATGAGCTACTACAATTATCGCGCGTGAGTCGCGCACGCCCTGTTTTTTGTTTGGGAGCCTCGCGTTAAGCGAAGTAGAGAGGCCGTGCCCGAACGAAACGGAGCTGCGTCACCGAAAGCGCGAATGGGTGCTCGGGTCAGGACGAGGGGTGCACAGCTACATGCAGGTTGACGAGCGTGTAGGCATGTCTCCCCCCCCCCGCCGCTGCCTCCACTGCCCCCAGGAGAGCCCCAAGACGGCCCCGCAAGGCCGTCTTGGAGTTCGCGTGGGGGAGGGGAAGATCTCGGGGGCCTCTGGGGGCACCTTGGGGATCTCGTGGGGGCTCTTGGGGGTCTCCTGGGCGAACACTCGAGGCTTGTGGGGGTAGCTTCTTCGGGGCACACTGGGGGGAGAGGGCTCTCAGAGCTTCTTCTTGGACCCCTCCTGGGGCATCTTGGGGGCATCTCGGGCATCTTGGGGGGCCTCGTCGGCCCACCGGAGGCGGTCTTGCGTCGTCTTGGAGCCATCTTCGGGGCCTCCTGGTCCGTCTTGGGGCCTCCTTTGGCCGTCCAGGGAACGCTTTGAGAGCCTCGAGGGCCATCTTGCGGCAGTCTCGGGGGCCTCTTGGGCCGTCTTGGAGCGTTGGAAGCCCGATATACGAGGAGAACACTAACATCGTTGCTGTTGCTTTTGCGTCTCGAGGCCCTGTTGGTTCCCGAGGCTCACCGTAAATCAGGCTTCCGGTATAGAAACATGAGCTCTATGAATCCCACCAGCCATCTGGGCAGAGGTGGCACAACGGTTGTTTCCTTCTCTCTTCTAAGCCCCCTTCTCCCCCATTCGGGGAGGGGAGTAACCCTTCCCTCACCCCTCCCCTGGGTCTAGACGGGGGGGGGTCGAGGTGTCAAACCCTCTCCCCCCCTCCCCCCCGCCTCCCCCCCCCTCCTCCTCCCACCACACCCCCTTCTCCCCCTCCCTCCCCCTCCCTCCTTCCTCTAAATCCTTTAAGAGCCTCAGAGGCTCGCGTAAAAAA